TCCTGCCTCCGCCTCCCAAGCAGCTGGGACCACAGGCGCCCGCCACAACGCCCGGCCATTTTTTGGTTGCAGCCATCATTGTTGTTTGGCGGGCCTGGACTGGGGATTCGAACCCGCCACCTTAGGTGTATGTGGCTGGCACCTTAGCCTCTTGAGCCACAGGCGCCGAGCCTATATCACTTTTAATGGCTGGACTAAAACATAAAATCATGTCTGTTTCAAGAATTGCAAAAATTAGCTAACCATTGCCTCTTGATGGGCATTTGGGTTGTTTCTGATCTTTTTCTCTTTATAATTAATGATCCAGTGTTAATACTTGTAAGTAATTTACTTTGCACATTTGTAAGTACATAGAGTGATCTTGGGAATGGAACTGCCAAGTCTCCAAGGGTACATGCATTTTTAATTTTGACAGATAGTAAACATTGCATTTATTTCTATAGGGTATTTTAAATGTTTTTGTATGTTTTACATTGAAGAGCTTTTATGCTTACTACTTGGAGAAGGTCTTCCTGACAAGCACTTGCATGAACATGGCTGCTGCTCAGAGCGGACAGCCTTTGGGCGCTTCTCGTAAGGTTTGGCATGGAGTTGATTTCTCACACTGCTTCTCTCTACAAGTGGAAACATAAAAATTTGTTCTGCTAAGTTCTTGGTCTAGTTTTGTTACTTTTCTCATAGAAAAATGTGTGTAGGGCTGTTTTTGTTCCTTCTAGGTCCTAGAAACTTATACTAGAAGGTGGGTGTCTGAGCCGGTATGACATGCATGTCACATAATAGCCCCTCCTGCCACTGTCACTGTGGGACAGGCTAACACTCAGGTGTCTTGGGCAAACATACAGCCTGTGCTATACATAAACGTGTCAGGAACTAAAACAGTGACCTGGGTATAAGGAATGAGATGTTGCCATGTGCTGATATGAGACAGCTGTTCAGAAATAGATAAAGGAAATATATTGAGAGTTCATCAAATATAAATTCTCACTGAACAAAAGCTGTGCACTTTTATGAGCAGGAGTATCTCTGTCTCTAGAGAGTTCATATTTTTAAAAGAGCTTAGTGGTGTGTCTTCATGCACACAGAATTAAGTTAGGAGTGTCTTTGTTCTAAGTTGGTTGCCTACTTGTTATTTAAGTTATCTTTTTTTGATTAAAGAAATGATAACTTTGTAGCCAGTTGGACCTCTATCTACATGTGACACGGTGACATAATTTGTTGGTCATTGGCACCTGCTTGTAGTTTATAATTTTATAAGTTTGAAAGGTGTTGTAAACGTATACCTGATAAAAAGGAGGAGAGCAAAATTTCAAGAACTTTAAAAATAAAGTGAATGAATGATACAGGAGATAGTCCTTTGGGGTCAAGGAGAGAGCACATGCTGAAGCCCAGTTCTCTGAAGACGTGGGTGTGGAAGGTGTATCAGGACTGTGGATCTGTCTCCTCAGGTCTGCAAGGTGTCCCAGCACTGCTCACTCTGCTGCACTGGACTATGAGAGTGTTTACAATTGAGAGTCATGTGGCTCATGGTCTTTAGCATAAGATGACACTGAAATTCAGTAGAGCCCATAGTATTTATCATTAGAGACTAACCTCATGTTTTTAATTTAATTTCACAAACTAGGGACAGACTTGTATAAGTTTTTACAAAGCTGCAAATAGGTGATTAGGGCAGTAAGACTGTTCTGTGTGGTGCTGCAGGGTGGGCAGGTAATTACACCCTGTCAGTCTAGGGGGCCCAGTATAAACTATGGGCTTTACCCAATAATGTTGGTGCTGGTTCATCATTTGTAACAGATGCACCCCTCGAGGGTGAGAAGTTAATAGGAAATGGGGGGCAATGTGATAAGGGTGTAAATGGGAAATGTACTTTTCTGCTCAATTTTTCTGCAAACCTAATTTAAAAAATTATTTTTTAATTTGAGACAGAGTCTGTTGTAAACTGTTTGGAAAACAAAATTGTGAAGAAAATAAAAATCACTCATAATTATAGAATTTCTGGAATTCATATACCAATAACTTATTGGTATATGGTGTTTTTTCAGTCATTAATATTAGTTTTTTTCTTTTGTTTTTAATAGTTGTATAACTGAATTCATTTGTAACTACTTTTTAAATATACTAATGTTATTTTTTCATTCATTTTAAATATCCTATAGCATAATTTTTATTTATTTAATGAATTCTTTACTGTTTTCAATTGATTTTACTTGTTCCCAGTTTTTCCTCAATAATACTGTCACTCATAGGCTCATGCTAAAAAAATCTATGATCATTTTTTGCAAGACTTTTATGAAAATATTTAGATATTTATAACTGAAAAATCTAAGGCAAAGAAAAATTAAAATATTATATAGTATTGCATTGTAAGCGAGTGGTCTAATGTGTTTTTCTTCTCTTTTTTCTTTTCTTGTCTTCTCCTCCCCTTCTCCTTTGTTGTCCTCCCTTCCCTCGCTTTCTTTTCTTTTTGTGAGACCACATCTCAGTCTGCCACCCTGGGTAGAGTGCTATGGCATCACAGCTCACAGCAACTTCAAACTCGTGGGCTTGAGTGATACTCTTGCCTCAACCTCTCAAGTAGCTTGGGTTACAGGTGACGGCCACCATGCCTGGCTAGTTTTTCTGTTTTTAGTAGAGATAGGATTTCACTCTTGCTCAGGCTGGTCTTGAACTCTTGAGCTCCAGGGATCCTCTGGCCTCAGCCTCCCAGAGTGCTGGAATGATAGGCATGAGCCACCATGCCTGGCCAAGTAGTGGTGTAATGTTAATTCTTAATCCAGTGTTTAGTTCACATTTATTATAATACTTTAAATGGCAGCATATATATTTAAGTTGATTTATAGTTTGAGTTATGAATTACTTTAACTTAAGACAATTTGAAAACAATACTTTTCAGGTTGCACATTAAATTTTCACTTTATGTATAATGTTGAATTTTGAATCCATATTTTTTTGTGACCTTAAGCTTAAAAAATTTTTTTAATTTTCTTTTCATAAGGATTCATATTTGCTTTCTTTATAAAAGACTAGAAGAGTTCGCACTTACAGTTTTATTTGGGCAATTATTTAAACTACCTGAATGGTTTGTTCCTAGCTCTCAAAATGAGGAGTACACTTGTTGAGGTTAAATGAAGTAAGTTATCTGACCCTAAATGGTGTACAGAATAGTGATTATATGGTTAAGCATTTTTTTTTTAGTAATTTGTGTTTATATGTCTCAAATTAATCTTGCAAGATTTTCTTAATAAATTTACTGTTCTTCCTGGCATATGTCAGTAATCATTTAAAACTGGTTGCTTGGTGTTAGCAGTGATTTATATTACAGATTATATTATGCATTTTTAGAAAATGTTCTCTGAACCTTTATTGTATATAACAATACTATATTAAATTTGAATTTTCCATGTACATGTGCAACACAGTTGGCTATGACCATGCGATTTTTTTCTTATATGGGTCTGGAAAACATGGACCTTTCTATTCGTAGTCATCAGCTATCTCAGCTATGGCAGATGAACCCATGTAATTTCTGTCTCAGTTGCTAAGTCAGTTCATGTGGCCACCTTTGTGATGCATCCTTCTACTCATTTACCCTACCCAAATGAAAATTAATTAGGTTCATGGTGTTTTGTGTTACCTCAGTAAAGATAGACATCAAACTTGTCTCCTCCACAAATCATAGGTTACCCAAGGATAGAAGTTAGTTTTATTCCTGTTCATATCCACTCACATACATTTTGCTAGGAAGTAGGTCACAGGATTGGGGGTCGCATATGTTAATGTTTGATAAACATTTATTGAGTTAAATTGAGTAAAAATGTACACTGGTTACTCGATCACTTCCAAAACTATTTTCTAAACAAGGTTTATTAATAATTCCAAATTAAAGCTTCAGGATTAAATTCATTTCTTTAATTGAGCAGGTGTCTTAGTGTCTGTCTTTTCAACTAAATGAATAAACATTTCTCTTTTAGGATTTATTCACACAGATATGACGAAACACTTGAAAGAAGAACATTTTAAGAAAAACATTCCTCTTGGGAGGTTTGGAGAAGCTATTGAGGTGGCACATGCTGTTGTGTTTCTTTTAGAATCACCGTATATTACAGGGCACGTTCTAGTAGTGGATGGGGGATTACAGCTCACCATGTAATTTATGGATTATTCAGTTATAAGGGTGGTTAGAATCAAGGGCACGCTTTGGCTGTTGATTAAATAATCACACCTACATGGATGATATTTGCTTATCAAACCCACTCATGCCACAAATGTTGATTTCCATCCTTACATGACTACATCTAAAAAGAACAATGTGTGGCCTGGGTGCGGTGGGTCATGCCTGTAATCCCAGCACTCTGGGAGGCCAAGGCAGGAGGATCACTTGAGCTTAGGAGTTTGAGACCACCTGAGTAAAAGTGAGACCCCCATCTTTATTAAACTTAGAAAAAATTAGGCATGTGTTATGGTAAGTGCCTGTAGTCCCAAGCTACTCGGGAGGCTGAGGCAAAAGGATTGCTTGAGCTTGGGAGTTTGGAGCTGCTATGATCTGTGATGCCACAGCACTCTAGCCTGGGCAACAACAGAGTGAGACTGTGTTTCAAAAATAAAAAGAATAATGTGTGACTCATTGTGTATTCTAAAGGGAGTGTATCATATGTGTTTGGTTATCTTATAGGCTGTAGCAATTTTAATACATAGGCATTTATACAAGTCTTACCAACAGATACGAATTTTATACTTTTGCTTCAAAGGTAGGAAAGATTATCTTATCTAATTATGAATTTCATTGTATTAGGCTGAGTTTTCTAGAAGTTAATTTTGTGAGCCATTGTCAAAATAAGAGTATCTAGAGGACACTGATTAATTATCAGTACTTTAGTAAACCTCCTAAAGATAAATTTATTTCTCTTGAATGTGCTTAGGTAACTAATATCTATATAGTTTGGAAAAAATAGAACCAAATAAAGACATGAATTTAAATTGATTTCTTTGAGTGGTATACTCTTTTCTTTCTTTCTTTTTTTTTTTTTTAGTTGCCCCTGATACAGTGCTATGGTGTCATAGCTCACAGCAACCTCAAACTCTTGGGCTCAAGTGATTCTCTTGTCTTGGCCTCCCTAGTAGCTGGGACTACACATGCCCACCACAATGCCTGGCTATTTTTTTAGAGATGGGATCTTGCACTTGCTCAGACTGGTCTCCACCTGCCTCGGCCTCCCAGAGTTCTAGGATTATAGGCGTGAGCCCCTGTGCACGATACCCTCTTGATTGGGCAGCTGGACAAAATCTCCAAATTTAAATGTACCTTATAGAAATTCTCATAGGTTTTTGAGACAGAGTTTCAAGCTGTCGCCCTGGGTAGAGTACTGTGGTGTCACAGCTCACAGCAACCT